GAAGTTCTTCCTAATGTCTAGTCTAAATCTGCTCTCTGCTAGCTTATGGCCATTATTTCTTGTAACCCCCGGGGGTGCCTTGGTGAATAAAACCTCACCAATTCCCTTCTGTGCCCCCATGATGAACTTATAGGCAGCCACAAGGTCGCCTCTGAACCTTCTCTTGCGGAGGCTGAAGAGGTCCAGGTGCCCCAGTCTCTCCTCATAGGCCTTGGCCTGCAAGCCCTCAACCATATGAGTGGCCCTTCTCTGGACCCTCTCCAGGTTATCCACATCCCTCTTGAAGTGTGGCACCCAAAACTGCACACAGTATTCCAACTGTGGTCTGCATGTTCATCTTGGAGTCAATAATGACTCCAAGACCCCTTTCCGCCTCTGTGCTTTCAAGAAGGGAACTCCCCAGCTTGTATGTATGCTGTGGATTCCTTCTCCCCAGGTGCAGCACCCTGCATTTGTCTACATTGAACCCCATCCTATTCTCATCTGCCCACCTTTGTAGTCTGTCTAAATCTAGTTGCAGCCTCTCTCTCCCTTCAAGTGTGTCCACCTCGCCCCACATCTTAGTGTCATCAGCAAATTTGGACATCTTAGTGTCATCAGCAAACATCAGCCTCATTCAGAAGTTCCTTATCCATCCCCTGTGCTTCATGTACCTAGGGGGATTGAGGGTGAAGGGGGTTCAATCCCTGTCCTCTTCCACCAGACCCTGTAATATTACCAACAGACAAATGGTGTTCTGGTAATGTTCTGGGAACATAATTTTGGACCCCACCAAAGATTTGGCCCTAGCTTATGCATTATATTTTGAGTCCCTTCCTATTCACCCAGTTTGATTCACTTTTGTGTGTCACTGCTACACTGGGAACACAGTAAAATAAACAGGTTAGCTATTGCAAGTAGCATATTCCCTCAAGCCTACCAGCAGTTTATATAAAAGGGAGAAAAAATATTACTGGTTGTATTACACTGAGGCTGGGTGGCTGACAGTCTAAAGTGCCTGTGTATAGGAATCTTAGCCATGAAATGTAAGCACTGGGAAAAGGAACCTTAACTCTGCCCCAACTCTCTAAAGTAGCTTTTTTTTAATGATGGTCTGCAACTGTGATGCCAGTAACTTGGATAATTCTTGAGTTTCTGATTTTCAGCAGGTTCCTCTTTCCTTTTCCTTTCAACAATTATTACTTGTCATGTTTGCTGACTGATTATTTGCCCATTTGTCAATTTATATGCCTCAAGGCAATAGCTCTCTTGATCTTGATTCTGAGTTGTGAAGCTTTCTTCTTATTGTCCCTAGGCTTACAGGCTTATAGGCACTCTCTCCTTCACCCACAGAGTTGGTAAATTCTTTTATCCAGGATCAAGGCAGTTAGCAGCTCTGCTGGTGAAGCAGGCAGATGACATACCCTTCCGAGATGAAGAGCTCAATTTATTTCCAAAAGTAATGGGGAAATTGAATGTAAAATCCTAATGTTAACACAACATTCATGTTGTGAGCTCAAGGAAATTCCAGAGGCGCTCTGGATATTTCAGACATGAAGGCTGTTCCCATAGTATTAATATAACAGTGCCACATCTATCCCTGTCTTTTTGAGCGTGAACCTTAATCTATACTTAATCACATAAAGTACCTTGTGGGCACTTTAGCTGAGCTAAAGCTGTGCACCCACCCATAAGTATTCCAATGCTGGCTTCCAGGTGCTTAGCTTAGCCTTAACACTACATTACCACTAGTGTTTAAGACTGTAATACACCTTGTGTTGTCCATGTATTCTGTGGGCCAGAAGAAGTAATTCAGATAGTGAACCTGGAGTGGAACAGATACCTCTGCAATTGAGAAGTTAGTATTTTTGCTTATCTGACTCCCTGTTACCATTGAAAGCTGCCAGCTTCTCATCTGGGAGGAGAGAAAGTTCAGGAAGGAAACCCCTGAGATGCTCAGACATTAAATGTCAGTGACTTATGCTTGGTTACTGCCCCCTTCTGACAAACCTCTCTCCTTCACTCAAGGATCCTTGACAAGTAGCTGAGATACTCTATCAGTCATATAGAGAGTACTACTGGCTTGGGTACTTTAAGGCCCTCTCATCTTCTGCTGTTAATGAGCTCATAATTGCTGTAAATTGAAAATGGAGAATGGATTGACTGCTTCTGTGAATCTGTTTAATTATGTGACAGTTTCCTAGTATTGATGAGGATCTAGACATTGCAGAAGTTGCTTTTACACAGCTCTGCCAGTGTTCCTCAACCTCCAAGCCCCACTGTTGTTCTAGTCCTTGGTGATAGCTCCTGGTCCTTGGCACAGCTCATGGCTGCACTCCAGCTCCACTTGAATTCCATGTGTAGCCTTCTCTTGTCATTGGTGCCAACTTATTGCACTGGTCAATATTTTCTGATTAGCACAAGTGAAAGCTAGGATGACATCTGTTCACCTCCTCGTTCGAACCTCACAGGCTAAAGCACTGATTCACAGCACCTGTCAACCTTTCACAGCAATGTTTTCATATCATCAGATAAACCTGAGGGTAGCAGATAATTGACTTGGGAAAAGTTTGGCCTTCTAGCTGTAGGCTTGCTGGTTCTCGGGCAAGTCCCTGTAGACCTGCTGGTGTTACAATTGTGTAGTTCCATTGGGCAAAGAGCCTTGCTAGAGCTGCTGTCTTCCTTTTGCTGCTGTTTCACAGGAAAGTGCTTATGTGAGAGCTAGGGAGTTGCTTTCTGCTATATTTGAATCTCTAGCTCTCCCAGGAATATCCCAGGGACAGCAAGACTATAGAGCAGTGAGGCTGTGAGAGTTACTCTGGACTGAGGAGGTGAGTTGCTTTCTAGATCAACTTGTAGCCCCCCTCTGCACTGGTTTTAGAGTAACAAAGATCCTGTCCCATGTTCTTATCTTGGTTGTGGCTCCAAGCCCTGGGTCTGGAACCTCATGCTTCCGTCTGTCCCATGCATGAGGAGGGAGGGAGTGGACAGAAGAGGCATGTGGTTCCTAAATGCAACCTCCCCTTATCTCTCTCTCTCCCCATATTGCATTCATGGGGGAGGGTGGGGCAAGGGAAGTAACTCTTTCATGTCTGCAGTAATTAGCTCCTCCGGTCCTCTTCTCTTCCCAGCCCCAGTGGATGTGGGATGCCTTAGGCTAACATGTGTCTACAGCTGGGTGGATTTTTTTTTTTTTTTTTTTTTTTTTTTACAGTAGAGTGTTTTTCATTAAACAATGCAATTCTGGGGCAGCTAGAACAATTTACAAATTTGGATCAAATACACTAAACAGCTTCAGCTGAAACAAATGTGTCAGAATGCTTTTAGAAACGTTACAGGCAACTTATTTTGACATTTGCAAAGCAAATGATTTCAGCATTTCCAAAACATCTTGCTTTTGGGTATTTGAAATAAAAGCCTGTAAGCTATTTGGGGCAGAGCTTGTCTTGTTCAGTCTGTACAGTCTCCAGCCCATGGAGTTCTGAACTATGACTTGCACTTGCTGGAGCAATGATAATAGGAACAGTAATTTACAGCTTCTGATCAGTGGTAGCTCCCTTACCTTCACCCAGTGGTAATGGTACTCAACACAGGCTGTGCAAGTTTTGAGTTTAAATCTACCCTTTACCTGAGGAAATTTAAAATTACATCATGCATCTCTAAGAAGAATCATAGAAAATTAGGGGTCATCTAATCCAACCCCCCCTGCTCAAAGCAGGACCATCCCCAGCTAGATCATTCCACCCAGGGCTTTGTCAAACTGGGCCTTAAAAACCTCCAAGGATGAAGATTCCACCACCTCTCTAGGTAACCTGTTCCAGTGCTTCACCACCCTCCTAGCAAGAGAGTTTTTCCTGTTATTCAACCTAAACTTCCCTTGCTGCAACATGAGACCATCGCTCCTTGTTCTGTCATCTGCCACTTTTTTTTTTTTTTTTTTTTTTTTTTTTTTTTTTTTTTTTTTTTTTTTTTTTTTTTTTTTTTTTTTTTTTTTTTTTTTTTTTTTTTTTTTTTTTTTTTTTTTTTTTTTTTTTTTTTTTTTTTTTTTTTTTTTTTTTTTTTTTTTTTTTTTTTTTTTTTTTTTTTTTTTTTTTTTTTTTTTTTTTTTTTTTTTTTTTTTTTTTTTTTTTTTTTTTTTTTTTTTTTTTTTTTTTTTTTTTTTTTTTTTTTTTTTTTTTTTTTTTTTTTTTTTTTTTTTTTTTTTTTTTTTTTTTTTTTTTTTTTTTTTTTTTTTTTTTTTTTTTTTTTTTTTTTTTTTTTTTTTTTTTTTTTTTTTTTTTTTTTTTTTTTTTTTTTTTTTTTTTTTTTTTTTTTTTTTTTTTTTTTTTTTTTTTTTTTTTTTTTTTTTTTTTTTTTTTTTTTTTTTTTTTTTTTTTTTTTTTTTTTTTTTTTTTTTTTTTTTTTTTTTTTTTTTTTTTTTTTTTTTTTTTTTTTTTTTTTTTTTTTTACAGTAGAGTGTTTTTCATTAAACAATGCAATTCTGGGGCAGCTAGAACAATTTACAAATTTGGATCAAATACACTAAACAGCTTCAGCTGAAACAAATGTGTCAGAATGCTTTTAGAAACGTTACAGGCAACTTATTTTGACATTTGCAAAGCAAATGATTTCAGCATTTCCAAAACATCTTGCTTTTGGGTATTTGAAATAAAAGCCTGTAAGCTATTTGGGGCAGAGCTTGTCTTGTTCAGTCTGTACAGTCTCCAGCCCATGGAGTTCTGAACTATGACTTGCACTTGCTGGAGCAATGATAATAGGAACAGTAATTTACAGCTTCTGATCAGTGGTAGCTCCCTTACCTTCACCCAGTGGTAATGGTACTCAACACAGGCTGTGCAAGTTTTGAGTTTAAATCTACCCTTTACCTGAGGAAATTTAAAATTACATCATGCATCTCTAAGAAGAATCATAGAAAATTAGGGGTCATCTAATCCAACCCCCCCTGCTCAAAGCAGGACCATCCCCAGCTAGATCATTCCACCCAGGGCTTTGTCAAACTGGGCCTTAAAAACCTCCAAGGATGAAGATTCCACCACCTCTCTAGGTAACCTGTTCCAGTGCTTCACCACCCTCCTAGCAAGAGAGTTTTTCCTGTTATTCAACCTAAACTTCCCTTGCTGCAACATGAGACCATCGCTCCTTGTTCTGTCATCTGCCACCACTGAGAGCAGTCCAGCTCCATCTTCTTTCAAATCCCCCGTCAGTCTCCTCTTCTGCAGCATGTCATACCACCATGCTAAAGGGCATCGTAGGGCAGGATTGCTTCTGATCTCCCCTGCTACTTCTGTTCTACTTCATGAGCTGCTTAAATATGGAGCAGGAGAGGCAATGGCTTTAGGGACAGGTAGTGCGGGTACTATCCTGAGAGGCAGGAAACTTTGGAATGAAATCCACTCTGTCTGACTCTGCATAGGGATTTGCTTCTCTATAAAGAGAGGTTTTTTTTTCTGGGAAATGAGAAATGGCAAGCTATAAAAAGAGGCCTCTGTTAGAAGAGTCTAACTTCCTCAGATGTTAAAATGGCCTCCAAATGCAAACAGCCATGTTCTTGCTATAACAACAATCAGGAACTAGTGCCTCAGTCTACTCAGACAAGGGTGGAGGTTGAGTCTATAATGTTTTCCTACAAAATTGCGACTTGTGGCATTCTATGAATGCTATGGCCTTTACTAGCTTTTTTGCTAGGTTGCGTGGAACTCATTGCTATAGAGGCATTGTCTGAAGCCTGAGCTCCAAAGCCAAATGGCTTCTCTTTGGATAGATTGCATATGCTGCAGGCATAACCTAAGGAGTTAGAGAACTGCACAATCACAATATCCTTCAATTTTAAGTACACCAGCTGTGGCCTAATATCATGAGGAACCAAATAGCCAGTCTGCGAGTGGACATCAGCTTTACATTCTTCCTACCCAAGCTGATTCAAAGCATTCAAGCCGCTCCTTTACGATGCTATTTCTCAACCTGTGGGTTGTGACCCAAAAGTGGGTCGCAAGCACGTTTCAAAGGGTCACAAGCTGTGGCAGGGCAGAGGGGTGGCAGGAAGGTGCCTGCCCTTTCCAGCAGGGGAAGGGGTGAGAGAGAGCTGCATGGCTGGGCTGGCAGCACCAGGGGCTGGTGCCCTTGTGGGGTGGGGGTGGGGTGACTGGGAGATGCTGGGTGGGAGGGGCCATGACCAGGCTGCCTGGCACAACACGGCAGCCCCAGCCCTGGGGCGGGGGGGAATGGGGACATTTCTCTCCTCCTCTTCCCACCAGCCCATGTGGGGGTTGGACTTGCTTCACTGTCACCTGTATGGGCCAGAGCCACTGAAGCCACTGTGGTCCCCCTCCAGCAGGGTTGGGGGAGCAGGGAGCTGTGGGTCAGGAGTGAGGGATGCTAGCATAGCCTGGGGGTGGGGCAGGGGACTGTGGGTCAGCAGGGCCGGGGGTATGGGTTAGGACAGGCCATGGATTTTTGCAAATGGGTCCCAGCAGGAAAAAGGCTGAGAACTGCTGCTTTATGGGAAGGCTAAAATAATCCATTTTCTCTGGAGCTGTGCTGAGCAAATGCCCCGGCTTGTGGGGTAGGGATAGAGCTGGACTCTCTGGGAAGCAGTACAGGTAGAATGTCATGGAAAAGTTGCTGTTTCAATTTTAGCTTTGCTCAAGAAGTCTGTAGAAGAAGCAATTTTACTGAGTTTTTTATTAAAAATAAACATTTATTTAAGCAGGCCAGCCTCCCACACATGACAGTAGCAAGAGTATGCTCAGCAGTACCCTTGGGGATATCAATATCTCATGGAAACAGATGCATTTGCCAACATATGGGCTGAGCTTTTTGGATTGTAATATAGCAAGCAATCCATGTGAGCCTGAATTCCTGTTCAGAGCTAATTTGCGAGCAATGGGAACTTTGGCTTTTATTTATTCTAACACTTTGAAAGCTTCCCAGCATTCCTTTTTCTCAACCATCTGTATTTAGTTTCACAATACCCGGCAGGAGATCCAGGTTTGCTTTGTGAATGGGGTGATGGATGTCACACACACACACACACACACACACACACACACACACCCCCCCTCTTCAGTTTTCCTGTTTTGGTTGGAGTTCATATTATTTTGTGTGTTCAATTGTTGCGAAAGTCTCACTGGTGCAACCATCTATGTTTTGGTGTATTTCTGGTGCCTCTTTCTATTTTGTATTTAGATATCAAAGCCAATAATTTGGTATTCAGTACACACAATCCACAGATTTGTCAAACTTGACATTAAACATATCAAACAGAAAACTATATTAATAGAATGTTAAGATTGCAGAATCAAGCACCCAGAATTTAGGAAATGCCAGAATATAGGTTGCCTCATCAACCTTAATTTGCTTTGGATGGCATTTTCCTTGTATTACAGCCTCTAAGCAGATGATAGCTGATCACATGCCATTTCCCACACCCCACCCAATAAAACCTATGCCTCATTAAGTGTGCAGAATATTGAATATGTCCCTTCTATGGAAAATGTCATTTCTATTTCAGAGAGATAAGTAAATATTTTTGCAAGCAGCCTAAGGGATTTAGACATCTATTTTCCATTAATATTAGTATACTAGCTGAAACCTGCAAAACCTTTGTGATTAAATTTTTATGGCAAAAGTATTTCTTTAAATAAAGGATTTTTAGTTATCCTTTGACCGAATACTTCAACACAATCAAAACTTCTCACCCTCAAAAAGGCTACATAAAGCTAAACACAGGCTCAGGAATATAAACACAGGCTCCCATGTCTAAACACAGGCTCAGGAATATAAATACATATTTTATCAGAAGTCTGACCTTGTGACTTGTTTATAGTCATAG